GGTAAGCAGCAACAGACATGCTACGCACAACAGACATGTTACAGAGCACAGACGATGCTAAGCAGCACAGCGCTGACGTGTACAGCGCAACAGACAAGTACAGCAGCAACATCATTTTACAGCACAGAAAAACGAGCACACAGCAGCACACTGACAGTGCAGCCAGCAGCAGCGTACCACCAATAGTAGCGATGGTTGTTTGGGGGTTTTTTTTATAAAAACCTGGCCAGCCGGACACCACTCCATTTTTTCATACTTATAAATGATCTTTTTTTTCATCTCTATTGAAAATTCCACCCTTATTTTTTGGGGGTTTTGGCCCAAAGCTTTCTTGGGCCCGGGGTCACTTATTTCCAGAAAAAGAAACCAAAAACACGTAATAATACAAAATATTCCGATTGAATGCTTGGTTTACCGCGGAGGCTGGCGGTAAACAAGCCCCCGGGCGAACATTACGTGGCTCAGGCCGCACTTTGGACGGTCCGGGGACGAAAATGGGTGAGCATTTTTTTAAGGATGGAGGAAAAATTTTTTGCGTTAAAGCAACGGATGGGGTTTAAATTTTTATTGATGCCAGTAACGGGGGTCCACGTATCCTCTCCTTCCGGGCATTATTTATCGGAATTCCTTCCTTTTTTCGTCATTTCCGCCCCCGTTTCTGTTACTTGGTGATTAAAATGCCCACCATTTCCTCTGGGGGGGCCCTCACTGTGATTCCCGTGGAATTCAGTTAGAGGCTTTTCTTGCCACCCACCCCCTCCATGTTTTAAATACGGGTACTCACACCCATTTTGATCCTCGGACTCATACTCTCTCTTGCATCGATCTCTCAGTCTGCCTTCCTTCTCCGCCGCATTAGACTTCATTTTGGTCTGTTCCCCCGGACTTACATGACAGTGATCATTTCCCAATCTTTCTTACTTCCCCTTCATATTCGCCACTCTTCGCACCCCACGCTGGCAATTTAATCGGGCAAATTGGAACCTTTACTCACACCTGACTGTTTTTTTAAAGGGGTTTCCCTTTCCCTTCGTCCTCCATCGATGAGCTTTTCCCACCTTTTTCCCGTCCTCCGTTTTCACCGCAGCTTCTCATTCTATACCCAAACTTCGGGCAGGTTTTCTCAGAAATGCGTGCCTTGGTGGTCTCCTGCTTGTGCTCATGCAGAAACGTTTGAAACGCACTGCATGGGGGAGGTACCGGTTACAATAGAACCACAGAGCGACTCCTTATTTTAAACAGAAGCGTGCGATCGCTCGCCGTTTTTATCCGTGATGCTAAACGCACTTGCTGCGAGATTATGTCTCCACCACACCTCTGCTTCCTCTATGAGTGCAGTCTGGAAGAAAGTACGAAAACTGAGTGGTAAATATTCTCCTGACCCGGCTCCCGTTTTTGCGGGTTGCCGTGTTGATATAGCAAACCCACTAGATGTTGCCAATTTAATTGGCAATCATCTGGTCCGTATTTCTCAGGGACCCATCTATGCCCCTCATTTCTTTCCTCAAAGTCTGCCAGAGAGTTAGCACCCTTGGGCTTTTTTCTTCCTCAGAGAAGAACAGTATAATGTGCCTTTACACTTCAAGAACTGGAGGCAACACACTCAGCTTGTCGATCATCGGCCCCGCTGGGCCCGACGACATTCATATTCGTATGCTACAACATTACATCAGTCAGCCTAGCAGTCCTATTACGCCTTTACAATCTTTTTTGGTCACAAGGAGTTCTTCCACAGCTGTGGAAATCCGCCATTGTTCTCCCTTTCCGCAAACCAGGCACTACGGGACATGAAACCTCCCACTATCGTCCCATTGCTCTTACCAGTGCAGTTTGCAAAGTAATGGAATGCCTAGTAAATAGACGTTTAGTGTGGTTTTAGAGACACACAACATCTCTCCACTCGTCAATATGGCTTTCGTAAGGGACATTCTACCATAGCCCCCTTACTACGCTTGGATACGTATGTTCGTAATGCCTTTGCGAATAACCACTCAGTTATTGCCATATTTTTTGACCTTGAGAAGGCATATGACACAACTTGGAGGTATAATATTTTAGCCCAAGCCCACTCCTTAGGCCTTCGAGGCAATCTACCATCCTTCCTTAAGAACTTTTTAACTGACAGGCATTTCCGAGTTCGGGTTAATAATGTGCTCTCCCCGGACTTTATCCAAGCTGAAGGTGTCCCCCAGGGATGTGTTCTGAGCACAACACTTTTTCTCCTTGCTATTAATGATTTGGCCTCTAGTCTTCCATCAAATATTTGGTCATCACTCTATGTTGATGACTTCGCTATTGCCTGTGCAGGCGCTGACTGTCACCTCATTACAATTTCTCTCCAACACGCAGTCGACCATGTTTCCAATTGGGCCACCACACGTGGGTTTAAATTTTCCAGCACTAAAACCCACCAAATCACTTTCACTAGACGCTCTGTCATCTCCAATCATCCTTTGTACCTCTATGGCTCCCGTATCCCTGAACGTGATACAGTCAAGTTTCTGGGCCTCCTCTTTGATCGTAGGTTATCCTGGAAACCTCACATTACCTCTCTGAAGGCAACTTGTCACAGCCGCCTGAACCTTCTTAAAACCCTTGCTCATCTTTCATGGGAGCTGTTTCGTCGAACCCTCCTTCGCCACATTCCCCCCTTTATTTATCGAAACTTGATTATGGTGACCAGATCTATTCAGGGGCATCTCCTGTACTCTCTCTAGCCTTAACCCCATTCATAAACCAAGGATTACGTTTATGCCTTGGTGTTTTTTCGCTCTTCGCCGTCGAGAGCCTCTATGCAAAAGCGAACGTTCCATCCTTATCCGATCGCCATGATGCCCATTCCCTGCGCTACTATGTACGCTCTCATGATCTCCGCAATCCTTCCATTTATAGAATGGTCCACTGATATTAGTAGACATTCTTATTTGTTCGCCGCCCCTGTTTTCCCTCCGTCCCTTCTCTCTTCGCCCTTCTTTCGCTCTTGTCTTCTTTTAAACTACCACCTTTCTATGTACATGTAGCATTTTCACTTTTCCCTACCCCCTGGGAAGTTCCAGCTGTTCGAGTCTGTTCTTTCTCCCTCCCTGGCTCAAAAGCCCAACGTCTACGGTCGCTTCCCGCTCCCCTTTTTCTTGACCACTTTTACTCTCATTCTCATGCCATTGCTGTGTACACAGATGGCTCTAAGTCTTCTACGGCGTAGGATTCGCAGCAGGGTTTTTCCAGATAGCGGGCGTACAAGGGCATTTACTATCTTCGGCTAGTATTTTTTACTGCTGAATTATATGCCATCCTTTCAGCACTTATCCGATTGCATCTATGCCTGTACGTCATTTGTGGTTGTCTCAGACTCCCTTTGTGCTTTTACAGGCTATACAAAAATTTGATTCACCTCACCCCTTAGTCCTCCGTATCCAACTTTGGCTATGCCGCATCTTTACCAAGCATAAAGATATTGTTTTTTGTTGGGTCCCTGGTCATGTTGACGTACAGGGCAATGAGCAGGCAGACACTGCTGTGCGGTCAGCAATACAAGACCTACCATTTCTTATAGAGGTATTCCATTTACGGACTATTTACTGCAATATCTTCCCACCTTCACACCCGTTGGCAACAACGTTGGTCTACTATGCTCGGCAACAAACTTCAATCTATTAAACCGAGTAGGTTACTGGCCGTCTTCTTATCACCAGTGTCGAGGTTGGGAACTACTCTCTCCCGTCTTCGCATTGGCCATACTCGTCTTACTTATGGATATCTCATGGAGAGGCATCTTGCTCCTCTCTGTGAGAATTGCCAAGCTCCATTATCAGTCAGCCACATTCTGTTGGACTGCCCACTTTATCAACGAGCACGCAGAATTTACCTCTGTCGTCGTCTTCGCTCTGCTGCTCTCTCTTTACCTTCCCTTCTCACTGATGGACCCACCTTTCATCCGGACTCTCTCATTGACTTTTTGACAACAACTGACTTACTTCACAAATTCTGATACCTTCAGCCCTTTCTACTTCAATCTCTTGCTACCCTCTACCCCCGTACTATCCCCTGCCCCGCTGTTTTCTGTAACCTGCTGATCATCCCCCCTCCCTTCTGCCATCCAATTCCCTTGCTTCCTCCCCTACCCTGCAGCGCTGTATAGCCCTTGTGGCTTAGCGCTTCTTTTTGAATTTAATAATAATAATAATCCAGAAGCTTGGTACTGCCAGGTTGGAATCAGAGTCCATTGATGCAACTAGTTTTTTCATAACTTTTCTTGTGTAGTTACACTTGAATGACTTAATAACACCCTGATCCAGTGGTTGTATTAAAGATGTATGTGGCAGTAAAAATACAACTTTTACATGTGGGTTCACATCTAGCAAAGCTTCTGGATGAGTGTGGGAATTATCAAGAATGAAGAGAGCCTTGAATGCATGGTTCTTGCTGTGCAGGTAAAACTTTACTTCAAGAATGAAATGATGCTTAACCCAGTCAATAAATATTTCCTCTCTCATCCATGCTGACTGGTTTGACCTCCAAATTGGTAAGGTGTTTTTATCTACACCTTTCAAAGCACAAGGATTCTTAGAGTGGTAAATAACCATGAGATTACGCTTGAAATCATCTGATACTTTACTGCAAAGGAGCAAGGTGAAGCGATCCTTTGCTGTCTTGAAGCATTTTTTCCAAAAAACACTTGTCTCGTCAGCATTAAATACTTGATGTGGCTTGTAGCCACCCTCAAAAATAATTTCCTGAAATTCAGCAGGGAAATTACTTGCTGCTGTATGATCACCTGAAGCACTTTCACCAGAAAACTTAATATTATGTTACTTATTATGCAACTTAAAGTTGTGGAACCAGCCTGTGCTACACACACTTTTTCAGGCCTTCCTTCCTTATCACACACTGCTTTAAACAACAGTAAGACCTTTTCCCTAATAAGATGAAATTAAGTAGTGCACTTTTCTTTGTGTTTTGTTCAATCCACTCAAGCAATAAGTTTTTCGTTTTATTTACAGTGGACCACCAGATTACGTAATTAATCTGTTCCAGGAAGAGTGACTTAACCCAAATCTGACTTACTCGGAATTAATTTTCCCCATAAGAAATAATGGAAATCCAATTAATCCGTTCCACACACCCAAAGGTATTAAACAAAATAATTTTTTTACATGAAATGTACATTTCCCTACACAAAAAACAATGAGACATGCAGAGTAAAACATTACTAAAATGACACTTGCCTTTATTGAAAACTTATTGATGAGTGATGATGAGACGGGAGGAGGGGAGAGGATGGAGGTGTACTAGTGTTTGGAAGGGGAATCCCCTTCCATAAAGACTTCAGGTACCAAGTCCTTTTCTGGGGTTACTTCCCTTTTTTGTTTTTTAATGCCACTAGGACCAGCTTGAAAGTCACTGGACCCCTGTCGCACAAAATATCTATCCAGAGAGCTCTGTTTCTGGCGTCTCTTTAAGATTTCCCTAAAATGGGACACAACATTGTCATTGTACATGTTGCCAACACAGCCTGCAACAGCTTTGTCAGGGTGATGTTCATCCATAAATGTTTGCATCTTTGTCCACATTGTACAAATGTCCTTAATCTTTGAAGAAGTCAATTTCCTCCATCTTTCTTCCTCCTCCTCTGAAGCAATTTCCTGAGCTGTGGTCTGTTGGTGTTGCAGATGAAGGTCTTGCAGCTCTGCAGTGGTTAGCTCTTCATTGTGGTCCTCCTCCAACTCTTCCACATCCTCCAAACTCACATCCAATCGCATGGAATTCCTCAATGCCACAGTAGATTTCACAACTGGCATAGGCTCCTCAGGGTCAGCCCCAAACCCTTCAAAATCCCAATCTTGTACACATTCTGGCCACAGTTTTCTCCAAGCAGAGTTCATAGTCCTGGAAGTCACTCCCTCCCAAACCTTACTTATAAGGTTTATGCAACTGAGGATACTGAAGTGATCTTTCCAGAACTCTCTTAGGGTCAGTTCAGTGTCGGACGTTATGTCAAAGCACCTTTGAAACATTGCTTTGGTGTAGTTTTTGAAGTTTGAAATGGCCTGCTGGTCCATGGACTGGAAGAGAGTGGTATTAGGGGGCAAGAACTTCGCTTTGATGAAACGAAACTCCTTCACCATTCTCTCTTCCAGATCAGGAGGATGAGCAGGAGCATTGTCCATTACGAGGAGGCACTTGAGTTCCAATTTATTTTCCAGGAGGTACTTTTTCACACTGGGGCCAAACACGTCATAGAACCAATCAAGGAAAATGTCCCTTGTGACCCATGCCTTACTGTTTGCCTTCCACATCACACAATTTACTCTTGACGACACTGTTTTTCTTGAACACTTTAGGATTTTCACTTTGAAATCCCCACTAGCATTACTACTAAACATGAGAGTTAACCTGTCTTTCATAGGCTTGTGTCCTGGGAGTGCCTTTTCCTCCTGAGTAACGTAGGTCCTCTTTGGCATTTTCTTCCAAAAGAGGCCTGTTTCATCACAGTTGAACACTTGTTGGGGTTTTAATTTTTCAGCCTTTATGTACCCCTTCAATTCCTAAATATATTTTTAGCTGCTTTTTTGTCAGAACTGGCAGCCTCACCATGCCTTATCACACTGTGTATGCCACTACAATTCTTAAGTCACTCAAACCAGAATTTGTTGGCCTTAAATTCACCAGTATGAGCATTAGTTCCAGGCAATTTCTTTACGAGATCATCATGCCTTTTCACATATTATTGACTGCATAACACTATCTCCTGATAATTGTTTCTTGTTGATCAACACCAACAATATCTTCCAGTATTTGTGATGTGTGTTTTGTAAGCATATTTGTACCTTTCACAAGAACAGCTTCCTTGATTGCCTTTTTCTTGGCCACGATAATAGCGATGGTTGTATGGAGTTTGGTACACAACCTTGCCAGCTTGGCGACACGCACTCCACTTTCATATTTTGCAATGATCACTTTCTTGAATTCTATAGAGTTTCTCACTCTCTTTACCAAAGGGCTGGCACTAGATGCTTTCTTTGGGCCCATGGTGGTTTATTTAGCAGTTACAAGCACTAAAGAGAATGGAATAATACAAAATATATTGTATGAACATGTGGGATCGTCCTCACTGGCTGGTAAACAATGGCACACTGGCTGTACATAGAGTGTCGTGGCTGCTCAGGCTGCGCGGACACGTTCCGAACAAATGACTTATACCGAGTTGAGTGACGTTCACCAAGCCAGTATTTTGACTCAAAAACGTTACTTATTCTGAATATTATTTATTCCAATAACTACTTAATCCGGGGATCTCCTGTTCTTGTGATCTACATGTCATTCTTTTCAAGAAATGACGTCCTGGGTTATTCATTACACATGCTTGTATATTTACCTCACCTCATTCTTTTTAATTGTACGAACTGACCCTTACTCAAGGCCATAGGCTCACGCTATATCCACCACACGTGAGCCACTCTTAAGCTTGTCTAATATCTCAATTTTCTTGGTAACTCCACAACTTAAACACTTAACCTTTTTCTTGCCACTTTCAGCAACACTTTTATTCCTACTGAGTGCCATGATTGCTTTGCAGATACAAGATAGGGCAATTAAAAGATCACAACACAGTCCACAAACAAAGCTAGCTCCTAGGATAGGATGGTTCTAGATGCATATGAATGGAAGGCTGGGACAAGGGTAGCAGGGGTGGCAAAGGATGGTGGTAGGTCACCCCCGCTAACACAGTGGTCTAACCCACAGCCAGGTGGGGGCCTGAGTTGGGGAAATATCCTGTGGGCAACACTCCAGATTTTTTCCCCTCCCGCAAACCGAACTGTGTTAAGCTAATTTTATAAAGTGTTGTATAAAATTATGCCGCAATTTTTCAGTGATGTAATAACCAAATGTGCCAAACAAATCCATGTAATCTAATGGTCTAATGTGCATTCATTTTCATCTTTTTTTTTTTTTTTCATTTGTTTTTATGAAATGTATTTCTTCTAAGAAATGCTTTTTGTTTGTCATCCGTACTTGTGTATAAATTTTATATTAATATTTATATTAGATGTAGGTAGTAGGTTGGTAGACAGCAACCGCCCAGGGAGGTACTACCGTCCTGCCAAGTGAGTGTAAAACACAAGCCTGTAATTGTTTTACACAATGGTAGGATTGCTGGTGTCTTTTTTTTCTGTCTCATGAACATGCAAGGTTTCAGGTACGTCTTGCTACTTCTACTGACACTTAGGTCACACTACACATACATATACAAGCATATAGTATATACACACCCCTCTGGGTTTTCTTCTATTTTCGTACTATTTCTTGTTCTTGTTTATTTCCTGTTACCTCCATGGGGAAGTGGGACAGAATTCTTCCGTAAGCCATGCATGTTGTAAGAGGTGACTAAAATGCCAGGAGCAAGGGGCTAGTAACCCCTTCTCCTCTATATATTACTAAATGTAAAAAGAGAAACTTTCGTTTTTTCTTTTGGGCCACCCCGCCTTGGTGGGATATGGCCGATGTGTTGAAAGAAAGATTTATATTAGACTTGTATGTTAGATATGATTTAGGAGTAAAATTTTCTTTAGTCATATATTTATTTTTCCTTTAATTTAAATTGTTTCATCTTGGATTAGCAATTGGTTTTTGTTTTTTCTCACCAACAGTTTAGCTAATGTGTTGCTCCAAGGCTTGGAATTCTCTAAGGGGGACAGTGAAGAGGGACGAGTTGCAGAGAGTGAAGGCCAGGTTCCAGGATTTCTTCGTTTTATGACTCATGAGCAGGTACAAGTGTTACTTAGTGCACTCCAAGTTTCATACACAGCAGCTGTTGAATTTGATCGTCGTCCAGGATTGAAATTCTTAATCCAGAAGGTGGCTCAAGCAGAAAGAGCAGCAAATCTTTATAAACAGGCAGGAGCCAGTTGGACGTTGCGGATGGTTACATTGTTTGACCTAACATTAGCACAGGTTAAACATGGCTTAGGCTTATCTGAAGTAAAAGAAGTTCTTGAGAAAGATGCAAGGGCTAAGAATACTTTCAAAAGAGAATCAAATGAATCTGGCACTCATGGTGATGAGGATAAAGATAGTGAAGGAAATGCATCAGAGTCTATAGATAGAAAGTGTTCTCGACCCAAACAGCTTCTAAAAGAAGATACCATGCATTATATCCAGTTGCTACAAGAGTCATTCACTGAACTCTGTGATGTTTACTTAGATCTTGTTATAGATCGTGATGGCCACTACTCAGCAGTGGACAGAATTGATGATCAACCAATTTTCTTCCTTACTGTGCAGCCAGATGAATTTCCCACAGCTCATCGTAAAAGTCTGGCCCAGTGGACAAAGAGTCTTGAAGAATTTAATGAGCATTTTACAAAAGGGAAGAAAATTTGTTCAGATACAGAAACTGAAGAAAGAGATCCTATTTCTGGCACCATGACCATTGGTGCCAGCCCTAGTTGTGCAGCAGTACCTTTAGATTTATCCAAGAGAGATGACCAGCTCCACGAAGAAAAACCTTTTTCCTTCGCAGACTTGGCAAGAGACTACAGTTCTGACTCTGAGGATTCAGAACTGCCAGAATTTGCTGAGGGTGGAGATTCTGGGGTTGCTAGTTTATCAGGTAAGAAAATACTTATTAATGTATGTGTAATATTGGTATAAAATTCAGTAAATTACAGTAAAATGCAGCTTTATAAACTATTTTACTATACCTATTTCATGACTGGTAAATATTCATTACATATTATGCTCTACATTCTTTTGAGAAGCATTGTTTCTTTATTTTCTCATCATTACTTACTTCACTCTTCAAGCCCTATCCGCAATGTTCTTAAAATTTTTTTTTATTAACACGTCGGTAGTTTCCCACCAAGGCAGGGTGGCCCAAAAAAAGAAAAATTTTCATCATTCATTCCATCACTGTCTTGCCAGAGGCATGCCTACACTACAGTTATAAAACTGCAACATTAACACCTGTCCTTCAGAGCGCAGACACTGTACTTCCCATCTCCAGGACTCAAGCCTGGCCTGCTGGTTTCTCTGAATCCCTTCATAAATGTTACCTTGCTTACACTCCAGCAGCATGTCAAGTCCTAAGAACCATTTGTCTCCATTCGCTCCTGCCTAACATGTTCATGCACGCTTGCTGGAAGTCCAAGCCCCTCGCACACAAAACCTTTAAACCCTCCCTCCAACATTTCCTAGGCCATCCCGTACCCTGCCTTCCCTCCACTACATGTGCAAACCATCTCAGTAACCCTTCCTCAGCCCTCTGGATACTAGTTTTGGTAATCCCACACCTTCTAATCTCCAAACTATGGATTCTGTGCATTGTATTCACACCTTGCCCTCAGACATGATATCTCCACTGCCTGCAGCCTTCTCCTTGTTGCAACATTCACATCCCATGCCTCACACCCATACAAGAGCATTGGTATAACTATACTCTCATACATTCCTGTCTTTGCTTTCATGGATAAAGTTCTTTTTCTCCACAGACTCCTCAGTGCACCACTCGCCTTTTTTCCCTCGTGAATTCTATGATTCACCTCATCCTTCATAGACCCATCTGCTGACACATCCACTCCCAAATATCTGAACACATTCACTTCCACCATACTCTCTCCTGGAGTTTGCCTGGAGAGAGTTCCAGGGGTCAACGCCCCTGCAGCTCGGTCTGTGACCAGGCCTCATGGTGGATCAGATCCTGATCAACCAGGCTGTTACTGCTGGCTGCACACAATCCAACGTACGAGCCACAGCCCGGCTGGTCAGGTACTGACTTTAGGTGCTTGTCCAGTACCTGCTTGAAGACAGCCAGGGGTCTATTGGTAATCCCCCTTATGTATGCTGGGAGGCAGTTGAACAGTCTCGGGCCCCTGACACTTATTGTATTGTCTCTTAACGTACTAGTGACACCTCTGCTTTTCATTGGGGGGATGTTACATTGTCTGCCTAGTCTTTTACATCTCCCAGGAGCTGGTGTTGGTGACATAGTCAGCGGGTTGGATAATATTATGTCAGGCAATGGGAACAAGCCCATTATCTGTCTTAGTGCTGGTGGAAATGACATCAGGAATGGCAGGAGACAGGAGCTGCTGGATAAGTATAGGTCAGCCATTGATGTAATCAGGTCTAAGGGAGGGATCCCAATCATATGTAGCATCTTGCCTAGAAGGGGAGTGGGCAATGAATGGATGTCTAGGGCAATTGGTATAAATTGCTAGCTAGTCAGGTACTGCAAGGAACTTGCAATCCCATTCATTGATAACTGGGACATTCTATGGCAAATGTGATGTGTATGCAAGGAATGGGGTTCATCTCTCTGGGGCTGGAGTGGTTGCATTAGCCAATTCGATTGAGGGGGTTATTGGTGACATGTCTAGGACTTAAACTGATGGATTACAGAGGTATGGGTGTCTGTGGGAAACAATCAGGCTGCAGTACAGTGGACCCTCAGTTAACGATATTAATCCGTTCGAGAGAGCTTGTCCTTAACCGATTTTATTGTTATCCGGTTTAATTTTCCCCATAAGAAATACAGTGGACCCCCGGTTTACGATCAGCTCCCAATGTGACCAATTATGTAAGTGTATTTATGTAAGTGCATTTGTATGTGTATGTTTGGGGGTCTGAAATGGACTAATCTAATTCACAACATTTTTTATGGGAACAAATTCGGTCAGTACTGGCACCTGAACATACTTCTGGAATGAAATAATATCGTAAACCGGGGGTCCACTGTAATGGAAATCCAATTATTCCATTTCAGACACCCAAAAGTATTAACAAAAAATATTTTTTAAAGATTAAATATAGATATATGTACAGAAAACAATGACAAATAAATATAAAGCACTAATAAAATGGATAAATGAACATTTAATATTACACTTATCTTTATTGACTCTTTTTGGTGTATGGAAGACAAGTACATGTAGGAGGCAAGAGGAAGGCGAATTTATTATGCTTCAATATGATGCTAATATCATCTCTACAGCTTAATTATCTACCACAATTCATCTAATATGACATAATATTAATAATATAAAACATGTTATGTACTCTTAGAATGAATAAAATACAGTGGACCCTCAACTAACGATATTAATCCGTTCCAGACAGCTCATCATTAGATGAAATTATCGTTAGTTGAATTAATTTTCCCCATGAGAAATAATGGAAATCTAATTAATCCATTCCAAACACCCAAAAGTATGAAAAAAAAAAATTTTACCACATGAAATATACATTTTCCTACACAGAAAAAGAAGGATACATGCACAATATATGTACTGTAGTAAATGAAGAATAAATGACACTTACCTTTATTGAAGATGTAGTGATGAGTGATGGGATAGGAGGGGAGATGGGGGTTTATTATTTTTTGGAAGGGGAATCCCCTTCCATAAGGACTTTGGGTAGCAAGTCCTTTTCTGAGGTTACTTTCCTTCTTTCTTTTTTAATGCCACTGGGAACAACTTGAGAGTCACTGGACCTCTGTCACACCAAAAATCTGTCCATAGAGCTCTGTACCTCGTGTTCCTTTAAGATTATCCTAAAGTGGGTCACAACATTGTCATTGTAGAAGTCACCAGCACGACTTGCAATAGCTGTGTCAGGGTGATTTTCTTCCATAAAGGTTTGTACGTCAGCCCACTTTGCACAAATTTCCTTAATCTTTGAAGAAGGCAACTTCCTCAATTTCTCTCTCCCCTCCTCTGAAGCAATTTCCTCAGTTGAAGAAGGCAACTTCCTGAATTTCTCTCTTCCCCTCCTCTGAAGCAATTTCCTCAGTTGTGGCCTCTTGCTGTTGCAGATGCTCTTGCAGCTCGTCAGTGGCTAGTTCTTCATCGTCATCCTCCACCAGCTCTTCCACATCCTCCCCACTAACCTCCAACCCCAAGGACTTCCCCAATGTCACAGTAGATTTCACAACTGGCATAGGCTTCTTAGGGTTAGCCCTAGACCCTTCAAAATCACTCTCTTGTACACATTCTGGCCACAATTTCCTCCAAGCAGAGTTCAAGGTCCTTCAAGCCTTACCTATAAGGTTTATGCAATTGAGGATACTGAAGTGATCTTTCCAAAACTCTCTTAGGGTCAGTCGAGTGTCTGAGGTCACTTCAAAGCACTTTTGAAACATTGCTTTGGTGTACAGTTTTTTTAAATTTGAAATGACCTGCTGGTCCATGGGCTGGAGGAGAGGAGTGGTATTAGGAGGCAATAATTTCACTTTGATAAAACTCAACTCCCCAAAAATTTGCTCTGCCAAGTCTGAAGGATGAGCAGGAGCATTGTCTAATACCAGGAGGGACTTAAGGTCCAATTTATTTTCCAGGAGATAATTTTTCACAGTGGGGCCAAACACATGATGAAACCTGTCATAGAAAATGTCCCTAGTGACCCATGCCTTAATGTTTGCCCTCTACATCACACACAAACTAGCTCTGATGACATTGTTTTTCCTGAACACTCTGGGAGTTTCAGAATGATACACAAGTAGAGGCTTCACTTTGCAATCCCCACTAGCATTACTACACAACATAAGCGTTACCCTGTCTTTCATAGGCTTGTATCCTGGCAGTGCTTTTTCCCAGAGGTGTCGTAAGGGGGGGGGGCCACCCCGGGTGACACCATTTAGGGGGTGACACCATAGAGCCTCTAAAGAAGGTGACACTAATGCACAAAACAGTGCCTCACCAACATAAGAGAAGAATCCTTCGTTGATTTTGTTGATGTGATAGATGATTTTGCATAATTGAAGGCAAGAAAATGTAAGATCAGATTTACTGTGATGTTACCTGTACTCAAGGTCAAATGTAAGATCAGATACACTGAGACGTTACCTGTACTCAAGGTCATATCGGAACTAGTGTTTCTCTGATATTCCAATGTTTTTTTTTTTTTTTTTTTTTTTTTTTTTTTTTTTTTTTTTTTTTTGGCATTGTTGAAGATGAATAAATGTAGGATCTGCTGGCTGTACTCAAAGTGGTATATTTGAGTTTATGTTTCCTCAATATTACTACAATTATTTATCATTAATAAAGTTGAGAAGTATTCTCCTGTTCAGTTTATGGCCCTTAAACATTCTCATTGTTAAACATTAGTCACTGGTCATGCAGTAGTGATATAACTGGAGTTTACCACCCCATCCCCCCGGCCTTGAGTTTCATGGGGGTGACACCAAAGATGCTGCCCCGGGTGACACCAGAGATTCCGCCCCGGGTGACACCAACTCTAGCATGCCTCTGCTTTTTCCTCCTGTGTAATGTAGGTCCTGTTTGGCATTTTCTTCCAAAACAGGCCTGTTTCGTCACAAACACTTGTTGGGGTTGCAATTCTTCAGCCTCTTTGTACCCCTGGAATTCCTACACATACTTTTTCAGCCACTTTTTTTTCTGAACTGGCAGCCTTACCATGCCTTACCACACTGTGTATGCCACTACAAATCTTAAATCTCTCAAACCAATCTTTGCTGGCCTTAAATTCAATAACATCACCACTAGTTGCAGGCCTTTGTTTAACTAAATCATCATGCAACTGCCTTGCCTTTTCGCATATGATCGCTTGAGAGATGCTATCTCCTGATATCTGTTTTTCGTTTATCCACACCAATAA